GCTTATCTGCCCAAGTATGTACTTGATCTTAAATAGCACTGGCGTCATTAGATGGCTAGTTGATTGCTGCCTAATCCTATCAAAGTTTCTGTGCTGCATTTTTTTGATAAAGAGCAAATACTTCTGGCAGCAGTATCTGTGCTGCATTAAACTTTTGCAGGATTTTTGCCCACTGTTTGTGGAATATATTGAGTCTGGGCAGCATCTGCCACTTACAAAGCACAAGTCTTTTTATCTCTGAGGTGGGGTAGGGAATTTATACTTTTTTTCTGTGATTTTTCCTTGTTTAGCCAAGTACAAGGGTTTCATTAGAGTAAGTTTTTCAACCCAGTTTTCTCTCCTGAGCAGCAAGAGATCTGCTCTGGAGTCATTGTTGCAAGGCAGGCAAAGGTGGGTTTGAATGAATGGCCCCATTGAACATGCTTGTTCAAGTATTGAGCTGTTCTGTGTGAGRGAAGCACCATTATCCAGTCTGCCTTTTTGTTTGGCTTGCCTTTTTAATAATAGGAACCACAAAAATGACGTGGACTTGACTATACCCTATCTCTTTTTGTCTTACTGCAGTTCTGTGTTGGGGCCCAGAGCTTCATTACCAGTATTGCATCCTAGTGCTTCACTCTTCCTCTCTGTAGCAAGCAGACTATATTCCTCTCTTTAATAGAAACTKCAGGCAGAATTAGTAAGATAATAATTTTGGAGCACAATCCTGTTGTGTCTCCCTGAGGTGGTCTTCTAACAGTGATCTCCACAGACCTAACACCCTGAAATGTCTGTATGTCATTGTCGTACCACAGAGCCTTCTGTGTCTTCCTGGAGCCTTGTGCTGTAAAAGCATTCCGTGGACTGCAGTATAACTGTCCTGGAACTGTAACTTTTTGTGCTTTTGGCTGAAGTACCATGGGCATTGTACATGTCAGCTTGGGGTGTTAAGCTGAAGCAACGTTGATTCAAGCCTTCTGTTTTCAGGGAATACAGGGGCAATCTTACTCTTAATCCAGCAGGAGAACCTGATCTTGCATCTCAGAATCATCAGCAAAGAAGAATTTCAATTGCCCAAATTAGATCAGAATATTACAGAACCTGCAAGGGTGAATAGGGGAAGGATGAGTGCACTTAGGAGCTGATACCCTGTATTATTCTTTACCTTAAACATGTTTYCTAGCAGTAGTTGAGATGAAGGGGTAGGGTTTGAGAATCAGTTCTCCCTGCACTGCAATGAAAGCTTTACAAGCTATGAATAGAACTATTGTTTAGGTACCTTTAAAGCTCTAGCACACCAAGTTCCTGTGAAAGTGCTGTCTTGCATTACAATTAAGTTGATCTTGCTGCAGCTCCTTCTCATCCTGCCATACTAGCTCCTCCTTCATGCTTCATGTCTGATCTACTGATCAGATGGTGGCATGAGATGCAGATCAGCTTGTTTTCTGGAATACAAACTAGGGGAAACAGCAGGTTGTATTTTTTTCCCCAACCCATAATTATAATAYTTTGAATGACATTAAAATGCATGATCATCAGCTCATATAACTTGTTAAATTTTCTTTTCCAACTGTTGAAAAGGCTGACAGAACATGAAAATTTGCTACATCATGAGAACTTTTTGTTGGAAYCTGAAATCTTAGCTGTTTCATCCTTTGCTGGATCCAGATAAGCACAATCCGTAGTTTTACATAGTTGCTCTATTGCCGAATAATAATCTACCTTGTTTATGTTGTTTGTTACCTTGCTACCRTGTTGATAAAGCCTTTTATAACTGCATAGGTAATAGATTTAATTTCTGTTACCTTGTTTCTGACTTCTGATTTTTCAGTGCTTCTGTTCACAWGTCTAGAAAATGCAGGGAACAGTTGGCAGAACTTGGAAATTGGGAACAGAGATATGAGTAATCTTTGTAATTGAATTAAAATATTGGGTTTTAAGTTGCTTCAAGAAAACCTCTCAAATTTCTTCAGAAATACTTAGAATTTGCTGTTTGCTTTTAAAATCCATTTTATTTTGCCCTAAATTTGTCGTATGAAAATACAGTGTCGCTCTTAGCCATTGTTGATGGCAATTTCCCAAATACAACAGTGGGGGAGGAGTTTCAGGTTTCTGTCTTGGTTTCTCAGCAGGTCTAAAGATGAGCAAACCAACGAAAATTTAACTTGGAAAAGGGCTTTACTGTTCAGTGAAATCAATTAAGGTGTGCAAAATGCTGGGGAGGATTTAGTGCTGTGAAGAGAAMGAAAAACTCTGATGATATTTCCGGATCTACAGAGGTTGTTACCAAGCGCTCTCACCAGGCAGAATAGCTTTGCTTGCTTTGCCATTTTGTTCTTGCATTTCCCAGGAATCTAATGAATCATTTAGAAGTAGGCACATCAGTTGTTCTTGAGATCGATACCTGTTCCCAGTCTCCAGCTGTCACATGTACATGACAATTGCTCATCTTACTGAAGTAATTTTGAACAGAATCGCATATTGTCTTTGAGCTCTCAGATCACAGAATTCTCTTCATGTAGTTTGGATCGTACCTTTTAGACTCATTTCTGTATCACTAAACAGACTGTTAACCTTTGAGCAAGCTCTTTTAAAAAAATACATCCCAGGGGAACAAAAAAAAATTCTTTAAAGAAATTGTAAAGCTATTTAAAAGGGTTTGTTTTACATAAWGTTAATAGAAAATCAGAGTACCACTTCAAAAAGCATGATTTTAAAAGAATACCCAAAGCCAACATTTTTTATCTTCGTTTCAAAAGTAACTTGGAATAATTTTTACCTGAAATACATTTTTCTCATTTTTTAGCACGAATCTAGAGAAACGTTACTGGGATTCAATATGGTGAATTATCGAGCGTGTAAGAATTTGTGGAAAGCTTGTGTTGAGCATCACACGTTCTTCCGTTTGGACAGACCACTCCCCCCTCAGAAGAACTTTTTTGCACATTATTTCACTTTGGGTTCCAAGTTCCGGTACTGGTAAGTGCTGATTTGAAATATATGGCAAAGAATATGAGTGAATTGGCAGCTCATCAATAAAGATAGGGAATTACCTAGATTCTATATTAACAAGTAATTCAAGTAGATTTTGAATCCTTCAACTGTTGCCCTTCCTTCTTGGCCTAAGTTTTAAATGTCAGTAATTTTTCAAGATAGCTTGAAAATGTAATTATTGTATTATTAGTGGTCATTATTGCACTATTATCTTGAGACTGTCTCCCAAATTGCATTTCTTGACCTGTTCATGTGCTGGGTTATGTTTATCTCAAAAATGCTATCTTAAAACCTCAAAGTCTTTGACCTGGTGTTTTTGAAAAYTATTGAGTCTCAGATACTGTGTGCAGCAACAGCAGTAAAACAGACCTGAATAAACACCAAATACAAATCACTGAAAAGAAGCTTGTACAAGAAAAGCCCACTTACCTAGRGGCATACAAATAGGAGTTAGGTGAAGACAAAAGACAAACATGTTCTGTATCAAAACCAGAACTTCAGAAAAGAAGGAGGAAATTAAATCCATAACCTTTAAGGATGAACTTAAAATAATATGCAAAAAGCTTGGAGGTGCACAGAATGACTATGCAATATCTATAATCCCTATAATGCTGGAGTGGGTGGTGTTAGGTTTTGCTGTTTTATGCTTTTTATTTAAACACATATATTTCTCTGTTCAGGGACTGAATTAACTGTCTTTGCAAGTAATGCAGAATGCCAATGGTTTAAATCGTGCCTGAAATAGAGGATAACAGAGCTACTAGTAATCATCCATCTAGAATGGCAGTAGTGTCTGTGACGTACAAAGGGACATGATGAAAAGCTAGAAAACACAATAACAGTCTATTTCTGTCACACTTGTGAATTGCATAAATGTATAAAGAGGAAAGTAATTCAGTGGCTAACTGTTTATAGCATCTGTTTTTTGACCAGCATTCACAGTACCCATTTGAGAAACAGCATTCCATGATCCTGAACAGYGTTTGAGACTTGACTCAATGTTGCTGTAGCGTATTTCAGGGAGCTTTTTCATTTCCATAAGGATTTTGAATCCGAATCATTGTTGTTACTATTACAGAATAGCCCTTTGATGATGATATTCAACTTAAGTTGACATGAGATGAAAGGGGAAACTGCATAAAAATGAAAAAGATCATTAATGTTACTGAAACAGCCAAAGGCTGGAATTTCTGCAAGTAGTTTGAGAGATTGTTGAGAGCATAACAGGAATGACAAGGCACACAAAAAGAGGTTATGGGTACTGGGCTTGTTTAATCTGGTGAAGAGGAAGCTGAGGGGGAATTTAATAGCAAGCTTAAAGCTACTTCAAGGGCAGTGTCAGTACTGATGGACYCAGAGATGCTGGTAACGGCCAGATGTCATTTCACCTTGAAGATTCTGGATGGATGTGAGTGAAAGTATTGGGGTTTTTTTAGAGCAGTGTGTTGCTGTAACAATTTTCCTGGAGTGGTGTGGGTTCTCTGTTTCTGGAGGCTTTCTAACTCAGCTAGATAAAGCCATGGCCAGCAGTGACCTCGTGTTAGCAGGAGATTGAACTAGACTTCCAGCCAACACTTCTATGATCAAAACAAGCCAATAAAAATGCAGAACTGACAGGTCTAGGCAGAATTATCTCTATTTCTGAAACAAATTGGGGACATGAAATTATTGAATGGATTAATTGTTACATAAGCTATTTCCATTGGTCTAAAATACTTACATGCAGCAAATTTTAATGCAAATTTGGCTGATTTTCTCTTTTTTAAAAAAGCTTCCAATAGGAATCTAGAAGACTTAGTGAGAAAAGGGGACTCTGTACAGTCACTGGATTTTTCAAAGTGGTTCTAACAGTATTCCTCACCAAATACTCATGAAGAAAAATTTTATTGTGTATTAGCATTTCTTGTAACCAGCTGGGAAACAAGTAGGTTCCKTCTTCACAATGGAGAGAAGTTACCACTGAAGTGATACAGGGTTTTGTAGTGAAATCTGAAGTTGACTGTAGAAGGTTTTGGTTTCACAGTGAGAAGTGAAGTAGGCAATAAATAGTATATCAAGTTCAGGGCCCAAAAATCCAAAATAAATTACACAGGGAAAAGAGTAGGAACATCAATTCTCTGAAAACCTTCAATTGTTTATTAGCAGTTTAAAAGGACAAATACAATGACAGAGTTACTGGAAAGGAATAGAGGCAAATACAGAYGACTTACTGCTTGTTGGAGTTAAAAATGTGTAACCCAAGCAATTTAGCAAGCAGCAGGTTTGGAAAAAGAARTTTCTTGGAATCGCAGCACAGCTGAGGTTGGAAGGCAGTTCTGGACACTGTTGAGTCCAGTGCCCTGTTTTGACAGGGTCCACTGTAGTAGGTTGCCAAGGAGAGTATTTGGACAGGTTTTGAATGTCTGCAAGGAGGAAAGCTGCAACATCTCTGAGCAACCTGGTTCAATGTTAAACAATCTTCACAGCAAAARCTTGGTTTTGTTTTGATGGGTGATGAGGATGTTGTTGTTTTGTAGCCCTGTCCTTGCTGCCTGCCTTGATTAAGAAAGATCTCATATTTCTGTTTGCACCATTTGCCTCTTGTCCTGTGTCTGGGCTCCCTTAAGAAGTGTCTGGCTGTATTTTTTACTTTCCCTTTCTGGCATTTGATCCTCCTGAGGCTGAACAGTCTCAGCTCTCTCAGCCTTTCCCCATCCATCAGATGCTCCAGATCCTTGTCTTTGTGGCTYTTTGCTTGACTTGGGGGGCTCTGGAATTCCACTCAGCACTCCAGATGTTCTCTCACCTGTGCTGGGCAAACCTGTTCTCCAGCCAGTTGACTCASCCTGTGCCAGTGGTTATTCCTCCTCAGTTACAAGTCTTTGCATTTTCCTTCTCTGGATTTCATGAGATTCCAACTGGCCCATTTCTCTGGTCTTCACACATCCGGTAGTTCTGCAATAAGAATGTGAAAAYAGATAATTATTTGGTTTCATAATGTAAATATCCCTGTTGGAGARTCTCTGCTTGGTCTGAAGTTATTAATGGGGAAGGGGATGCAAGAGCAGGTGTTGTTGGTGTCTTGTCACCAATTCTTAAGTGCTGATAGATGCTCAAAAATTGTGTTTTTCGAGGGGAGAAATGATGAAATATATTATAAAGAATCTTTGATTTGACACGAGACATCTGGTCTTATATGAAAAGTCAGCAAGTTCGAAGATCTAATCTTAGTTTTGACAAGTTGCATAGAAGAGTACAATCCTGATGTGCTTATCATGTAATTTTTTTGGTCGTATTTTGCTAAACTAAGTAGCAACGAAGTTATTAGCAATTCAGAGAATAGTTCAGAAAGAGTACGGAAGTGGTGCTGTAAGTTTTTGATAGTGGCTATACAGGAAATATTATTGTTAAGTGTTACCTAAAGGTTGAAGCAGAAAATTTTTACTGCTTTGGATAAAAAAAGCAAAAGGAAGAGAAAGCTTTTTTACATCAAAAATTAATTGGAAGGAAGACSTACATTTCTCCCAAATGCCTTCTAAGGTATCATTGTACTCAAGCTAAGGCAATTGCTTAAACATGACTGAAAACAGAATTTAGGATTTTTGTTGAGGTGGTTCAATTTTAAACAAGAAATTGTTGTTTAATCATGTTGGATTTAGTGCTTTGATTTTCTTTTGCTTTCCAGTGGGAGAACAGAGGTCCAATCTGTGCAGTATGGTAAAGAAAGAGCAAATAAAGACCGGGTATTTGCAAGGTAAGTAATTTACATTCTTTAATATTTCCCCCTTTATATATTTTCAAAATTCAGAATAACCTCCAGTCTTTGTGGTTTGTTGTTACACATGTATTAGCCTTTTTTGTGCTGTTTTTATTGCAAAGAATGGTCTTGTACTGTTAAAATACTTCATTAAAATATTGAGTTAATGGGTATTTTTATCTGCAATAATAACCTGCAACTGTACATGTGTATTTCCATTAGAATAACTACAGTGAGTCTTACTTGTGAGAACAGCTTTATCACTGTGGTCTCAATGAGGATTTTTGCTATGAAAAGTGGGCTCTTTCTGAAGTTATTTGGTCACAGAGTAGTTTGTTGGATCAAGAATATATTGATTTTATTCCAGACTCCTAAGGAGTTCAGTGATTACAGTAGAAAAATTAAGACATAGATTTAGTTCTTTCTTCAGAAATTAYGATGCTGTTTTCAAAAGTAAAACAGCTCCTACATCCACTGGCAGTCTGCTCTSATCATTTATAGAATCCTTGTGGGGAGGGGGCAGCATTGTGCCTTTTTGATGCTWCTGTTTTACTGAGATCCAAGGTCATTTTTTGCCCCCTAAGGAACTCTGGAGTTCAAATTTATGCTTGCAGCCTTCTAGTAATAAGCCCAGCAACTTTTCCAAGTGCTTGCAGATACTTTTTTCAGTGTGAATTCTGCCTTGATTTCCTGCCCTATGTCCACTCCTTCTTTCCCCCTGTGAATTATAATTTGGGATTTTAGCTAGGCCCACCATAGATAGACAGCTCCATATTAGGTTTGGGGGGCAGAAATGCTGTAAGATGGTGGTGGTGGTTTAACAAGTAGATTTTATGAAATATTTTCTTCTGTGTGAAATTATTTTTTACTCCATTTCATTTACTTTGGGAATCTGGTTAGATTTGTACTTGGAGCAACTTTTTTTAGTATTCAAGAGACTCAGTACTGCAGTAGGTGAGCTTTACTTCCCTAAATAACAGCTATTAATCAGTTAGAAACTATTTTTCTTTTTTCACTCTGAACTTGGCAATTCCCCAAAAGTCAGCAGGGTGAAGGAGAGCTGATACTTCATATTGAGGAGTATTTTTATAATTTCCAAAACACTTATGCAGTAGATGGCACTCTTCCCTTTGCAGCAACACCCAGCAAGTGCTGCTGGGGGTCACTTCCAGTTTCTAATATATAGCTGGATAAAATTGTTGAAGTCTATAAAATCAAAAGCTGTGGCAAGAAGTGCTCTGATTTTCATAAATCTTGGCTTTTTTTTAGTTAGTAAAATGCTTGGCTCATCCATCCTCAGGAATTTTATTTTCCACTGTTGCTTTTTAATTAAGGAATAGAGCATTTATCCACACATTTTGAGTTTCTTAGAAATGTTGATGACTGATGTCGGAGGCATATATGTTTGTATCAGTGAAATGAAATAACGATGTATTGTAACAAATACATCTCAAAAAGCTTTTAATAAATCATCTGCTTCTCCTTCTGTCTTCCTCATGACAGTGTGCAATTAATATAGATTCAARTTTAAAGACCTTTAATATTTTCAAGAGTGAAAAAAGCTTGAAATAGAAGGAATTTCTAGAACACAGTGATGTTTAAGAAGCTAAGAACATTAATTTTGTCTTCTAAACATTTGCATTTCAAGTTGACATACTGAGTAGATGTCAGACCTTTTGTATTCATACAGAGGATAAATACTGGTTTTTAAGATTTTCCAGGTATWATATGGGTTTTATTCCTGGAATCTGCCTTTTGTCTTTCATGGTGTGTCTTTATCAGACAGTCATGGTGGTGTTGAACAGTTTTTTTAAGCTCTCAGGGAGTGGACTTGTTTTGGTTGCTTTTGAAAGTTAAGGTCTTCCTTGAGTATTCGGTGGGCCCATAAATTTGAATCATTTGCTGTTGCTTTTATTATTATTACAAGAAGAGATTTATTCAAGCTCAGTTAAAAAATGTTTTCTGTGTCTTTTTTTGTAGAGTTATCCAGATTTACACTTTGATTTCTTAATAACATCTATTAGAAACTGCCTTATTTGAACTAATACTGTCTAAGTAAACCTTTGAATCATTTAGTGGTAAGAAGATGAGCACAGAGTGTGACATTGAGATGTTACTTRAGTGTTCTGTTTGTTCTAAGTTGGGAAATGGTGACTGCCATAAGTAATGAATGACTAGCTGGTCTGGCCTTTGCATTCTRAGTGGAACATAGGTACAGAGCACAAGACAAGGAAATAAAATTTTTTAACAGTCTTATGAATAAAACAAGTGATTTTGACCTACAGGAACCAGGCTTAGCTGTTTGTTCACAGGATTTTACTTCAAAATTAGCTGAAGGATTTTTTTTTTTCCCCAAGTCATAGAAACATTTAAATTTCACTTTTAAAAATGGAAWTATTACTATGAAAGATATATTCTGTAGTAAATTGTATATATTATGTAAGTGCTGTATGTATGTTTTCTTAATCTTCATGCAGCAGTAAGTTCAGGATTCAGAAGACTGTTGCTGCAGTTGTTTRGGTTTTTTGGTGGTATTTTTGTTTTTTTAAATAATTTTCATTGTAGCTATTCTCTTGGCCTCATTTGTTGCAGATATTTGCAATCCATGAAACCCCATAAGAATTCCCAGAAACTTAATAAAAGTAGATAATAAGAATAAAAAAGGTTCAATCAAGACATGAATTGAGATGATTCTTAAAAGGCACTGCTTTCTGTTAGAATCTTTGTGAAATATTCTTGTGTTCAGTTCTGGGTGTACACGGGGGCYGAGAGAAGGCAGTTTGAGTGAGTGGGTGTCGGTCATTTGTATCTGCACAGTCCCTGTCTTTAAGCTGAAGTCTCTGTTTCCAAAAATTTAATMGCACTTATTCAGGTTAATTAAATAATTTCTCAGGTGCTTTAAATTGCATATGTCATTTGTGTGATGTACCTTGCAGATTTATAGTTTTCAGTCTCTTGGTCTGAAGCAGTGTTTGTCAGTTTTGCTGAGAAATATGTTCCCTCTATTCCTTGTCAAAACACAAAGCAAAGCTGTTGCTCAAGGTTATGTTTCTTTTTGGGACAGAAATTATTTAAAAATAAATTCTACCTGTATTCCCAAACAACAYCTTTGTTCTTTCCCAGCTTCTGCAAGATTTTAGCCCTTCAGCTGTGAGATGCCAAACAAATTCTGTCTTTGAAGGCTTGTCTGTACTATAGCTGAGCTTATATAAAGTCATGGGGTTTTTTTAGTTGCATTATATAATTTCATCCCTGGTACTTGGTTTTGGGAATTTGGGATTCTGTTTTGTATTTGCTGTAACACTGCAGCTCATAAGACTTGGGGGCAGGTAAAGTTTTTGGTTTGTGTCACTACTCAAATAGATGGGACTGCTTCCAGCTTTTTTAGGAATGTCTCTCCAGGTAGACCAGAATTAAATCTGAAAATGGTTTATTCTGTTAACTATCAGTGCCCTGTGCCAGGTGCAATAGAAGCATCCAGACTGAGCAGATAGAGGTGGAATATAGAATTTCAAAATTTCAACATTTTTTACAGCTTAGTTTCACTTTCCCATCTCCTCAGTTGCACTCTGGCATGAGGAAATTAATTCAATATAGTAAGAAATTAGTGATACAGGACAAATTTGTGGGTATATTTCACAACTAATCTTAAATGTTAATTAAAAAATAACTTATTGTTAGATTTACRAGTGTTAACAGGAGAAGTAAAATCAAAAACCCACAGAACTATGAAGTTCAGTGCTACAGTGTGGTAATTTTTTCTTTGAAATTTCTGCAAAGACAGGAAATTGAGGCAACAAACATGAGTGGGTGGGACTCTGAGGTTAGAGCTGTTAATAAAATAATGGAAACGAAGCTTTGGTGATAAACACTGCAGCTGTTTATCATGGTGGTAAGGTACTACTGAAAGATCAGACCCTATCCACAGTAAAAGGTGAGTGTTTTCTTAACATTGGATGTTTGGAAGTGACGCTTTGCTCATTTTGGAGTTTTGTTTGTTTGTTGTATAGATTAAGGAAGTTTGTAGTTACATAGTTACAGACTGTGTCTTGAGATACAAAGCAGCAGGGGGTTTTGAAGCAGTCAATAATGTAATTTTTGAAAAAACTTGGACATTTTCCCCATCTTGTATACTCCTGTGTCTTTMTTTGTAGTTTATCTAGTTTCACACAGGCAAGGATGGTGCACTTCTGCTGTTGTTGCGTGTTAAAAAAAGAAAAGCTCCTATTCCAGCTTTCCTATTTTCCATTTGTTGTTTTTTCACTGMGGGTAAATGAGGTTCARTAGTTGCCTTTACATGTCTGTCAGCAAATACTGTATCTACAATACTGTATTTACCTAGTTCAGCATTGGTTATGTTCTTCTGCAATTTTCCCTCAGACTGTTCTTTGCTTGGCAGTAGAATTCACTTCTTGGCAGAGCTGGCTCTTGGTGCTCATCTGCTGGCTGCAGCCATKCTGTCAGCAGTGTCCAGTTAATCATAGCCCTGATTAATAAAAGAATATGAAAGGCTAAATGCAGACATGCATTGCACTTCTGCTATTTCAGTTTCTCGTTTTTTTACCTGTTCAGAGCTGCTCAAATTTACATGTTATGGAAGAAAGATACCTAAGTGGTTTGAATTATTCACATTTGAAGCAAATTGCAGAAATTGGAATTTTGGTTTAATTGATACAATGCCAAGCTAATTATTTCCAAATCAAATCAATATTCCTTAAATACAATGAAGCATGCTAAGAAACTGGATGGGCTTATCCTGCGGAATTAATTGATACTTCACCTGTTTTCAGGTATCAATATGCTAACAGATTTTTTTCCGGCGACTGGAATAACACCTCAGACAGTATTATTTAGAGTATCCCATCTTGCTTAACTGTCTGAAATTTGTCAGCTGTTATTTCAGTAAGACTTTAGAGCAGCAAAGCAGAAACAATACATGTTTCTAGGGTGCGGTAAAAATAAAAATAAACCTTCCACACGTGGACCACCRCTCCTTTAATATCAGTGTTGACATCTTGCTTATTTCTATATGTGAAGCTTATKCAGTGTAATGGTTGGTTGGTTGTTGGTGTAGACTTCTTTGATAATATTGAGGACAGTCTGCTCAAGGTGGTGACTTGCATTGAATTTTAACTTCCCTGAGAAGTAAAAATGCATTTGCAACCAAGTTTCTCATTTTCAGAGGATGTCGTTTGTGGGCAAGGTAGTTCCTTAATTTCTCAAAGTTCCTTCTTTCTGGAGTCGCTCTTTCAGTAATAATGACAAAGATAAAGAACAGTTACCWTGTGTCCCAAGGACAGTAAAGGCAGAAATTGCTTTGTGATATGGCTGTATGGAGCTTTACTGCTGATATATTTATATTTTGTCAACTCATTGTGCAGAGCTGGAGAGTATAGTGATAGAATATGAGGGCATATGGAAATGAAATTATCATGTCACAAAAGATTGAAGTATCACTGGAACAAGAGAGGGTTGTGTAATGATAGAGGAGAAATTTGAGCTATGTAGCACCATCAAAGCAGTAGAGGTAAAAACCCATTAACACRAAATACACAGGACATGTGTGGATTGTTTAATAGTATTTTTGTTAGCTGAAAAATTTTCAGTTAAAAACCACTAACAGCAAAAGTCTGGGTATTTTTAGTGTCAGGATGACTGAACCATCTAATGCAATGCTAAGAAAAAAGCAGCCAGAAGTCTCGGATGATTCATTTGATGATTTCCAGTATAAAAGGGAAACGTAGTACTTCATGAGAGATTACAAGTACAGTTTCATTTGTGCTTAAGAAATAGGTGAAAGAAGCAGCAGGAGATTGCGGGCATCCTGGAATAACTGGAGAATGGGAAGAAAAAGTTTTGTTAAGGTCAAGAAAAGGCAACAAGTAGAAAATASAATCCCTTTTGTATAAAAGCACTGGTGATAATGACCTATACCAGAAGGACATTTCTGTCATAAGCCTAAAAGGAGTTCTGTTACCCATGAAGAAGTTTAAATAGTTAAACAGTATTSTTGCATCTGCCTGACAAATGACAAGGCATGTTGTGGGAGAAAGCATGTCATCTTGATGGAAATCCTGATCTGTRAACCAAACGTGGTAGCTCTGTTGCCATGTTGATGATTATCCTACTTTCAGTTCTTCAGTCTTTGGGAGTTTTTTTTTCTCTTATGTTTTCACTGCTTTATTTTTCCTGGCATAGCTTAACAGTTGCATTGGAGGGCTGTTGTTTGTTTGATTGATTTTTTACATTTTTAAGTTCAGATCTCTCAATGATTATTCTGTTTAAGTCAGACTATCTTTGAGGTATTATAAGTTTAGTTAGTTCAGACTCTATCTTGCCTGTCTCCCTTGCAGCCAATAGTAGTTTATTACTATTTCAATTACATTCTTTTCCAAGTACAGTAAATGAACTGCAGTAGTTGGAGAAAATACAGAACTGCCCATGTAAATATAGCATTGCATTATTGCATTTCCTTTCTTACATATCATTTGGTTTCCTATGATAGAACATCAGTTTCATTGTGGTGAATTTTATATAATTTTGTTCTTAYATCATATAATTTTTGGTTATCATTTTACATTCTTCTTGTAGATCTCCCAGTAAACCCTTGGCACGGAAAGTRATGAGTGGGATGGATTGGGAAGTTGTGAGTAGGAACTCACTGTCTGATGATAGGTTGGAAACACAGAGCCTCCCGTCACGGTCTCCACCTGGAACCCCGAATCAGTGAGTAGCATCAAATCTTCTCTCCCTAGAAATGACTGTCTATGTCTATTGTGAGTGACCTACTTGTAATAAAAGGATTAATGTGTTATGCAGACAAATAGCTTCAAAATTTCTGTACCGAATGATTCTCTGTAACACTTAGCGTCAGATAGAAGAAAAGGACATAGGCATGGGTTTTAAGTGCTTCTCACTTGGCCTATAAAAAGTGTAAGATATATCACACTACTCTAAATTTCAGAGCTTGAGTTATCTCAAGCACAATTAAAACTGAATTATTAATTTGGTTGAAAAAGGATCCTGATGATAAAATCTGTGTGATATTCTAAAAATAAAATTTTTTGGTTAATACCACTTTTTAAAACATTGGAGAAAATTACTTAATTTCCAATTAATTGTAAATCCTTGCACGTTTATTCTTCTCAATTTTTCTGCATTTCCTTTCAACGTTTACTCTTTTCACATGACAGAGCTTACTGTTTCACGTTAGTGAAAAAACATTCCTGATTTTCTTTGGAAGGTGACCAGTTTTCTCAGTGTGCTGAAACTGGCTTAAGAATAAATTTTGCCCAATTTTGTATTGCATAAACAAGATTTTAAGATTCTGCAGCATATAACCTCACAAGATTGAGGTTGTAAATATCTGTAGATTTTTAAATTACTGAAAAATGTTGCAATGATGCTTAAAGCATAACAAACTTAATCATGCATGTTTAAAATAATTTTAATATGGCTGTGTCATTGTGTGAGCTTTCAAATGGGAAAATSCTGGATCACAGAAATGATAACACTCTCAGTGCAAAGCTTATGATTCTTCCAGGGGAAGATTCAGGGGATAAATTGTTCAACTTAATGAATTSAGGTTAAGTTCTGCCATGAGCAGCACCAGGATTTATCTTCTTGGGAATCCATTTATCTTCTTGTTGACTGGGCTGTCAGCCTGCTCTTTGGACCATAATGATTTCAGCCTTCTTCAGTTAAAAATAAATAAATTTTTAAAATAGACTTTAGTGTTTATTAAAATGATTTTTGAACACTTTAAAAAAATTAATAAGTCCAACATGTTGATCTGACAACGTAATTGTTTCAGTGATTTCTGAAATTGTAGTAAAAATATGTGTACAAATATGTGCTTGCACTGAGAGGAAATAATCTTTTCAGCATCCCATTTTAGTGGGTGGTATCAGAAATGTAGATTAACAATAATATTCTTGTCTCATTGCACTGCTCTGCTTTCTCTCTTAGTCGCAACTCTGCCTTCRCTCAAGAAGGAGCCCGGTTACGACCCTCATCAGTTGGACATTTAGTGGATCATGTGGTTCACACCTCCCCGAGTGAAGTATTTGTTAATCACAGATCTCCATCTTCCACCCAGGCCAACAGCATCATACTGGAATCATCCCCGTAAGTTCTGCTCTTACCACACCACTGTAGCTTGCAGGGCTTCCGAAGAGAGGTCAGGAATCTCAGCCTTGAGGAATTCATTGTTAAATGTGGGGTCAGGGAGAGCCAGGCAATCTAATAAAAAGGTGGCTCTTTTTTAAGGAATATTAGACTAGGTCTTACAGTGAGAAAGAATTAGATGRTAGAGAACTGAAGAGCTGTATCTGACATATTCCAGGTTCAGAATTACAGTATCATCCCCACAAGCTATGGGTTTGCTGTAATGTGACCGTCAGTGTCTACATGTGGAAGCAAAAGCTGGGGTTTTGATAGAATTGAAGATAAGTTTTAATTCCTATCAGTTTGGAAATGTTGCTTTTTGTCAAGGCACAGTAGTAGTATGAATAAGCTTTATAATTTAGTCAAAACACCCTTTTGGCACCCCAGCATTTGTACATTGCTAGTGTATTTTGTATATTGTTACAGTGTTCATTTTTTTTAAGATGACACGTCAGGCTTTTTTATTTTTTTTCTCTTTTCTCCCCAGTTATGCTGAATATTCTTTATACTGTAAGCTTACTTGCTGTAAGATATGGCAGGCAAAATAAAACTATTATTGTGTATTAGATCCAGAAGGAAGACAAAAAAAAAACAAACCCATTGAGTTATTCTGAGGTACTGAAATACTCAATAACTTGCGTCCATATCAGTTGGGAAAAAAAGGTGCAATGTATACCACTACACCCTCTTAGTACATGCAATGCCAGGCATGCCCTCATAATTTTGTATAATCTCTGTTAGCAAGAAAATTGTGCAAACGGTTTCAAAACCATTTGAGAACTGTAAAGCAGTACATACTTAATTACATGTTTTTAAACAAATCTCTCAGGACAAATTACTCTGGGAAGCCGTTTAAATGGTTTTAAAACATTGCCTAGACTGTACTTTCATCTTTAACAACTATATGTAACTTTTAAGGGGAGAAATAGAATACAAAATTTTTGAAGTTTTATGAAATAGCACATGATGCTTTTTACAATAGGCTGCAGTAGTTATAATTTGACCCTCAGCTGTTTTTTTGACTTTCAGGGTTACATAATAGTTATTTGACCTAATCATGTAAATTCTTCTTTTTTGGTGGACTTTTTAACCTATTCACAAAGGACTCTCAGAACTGGAACACTCGTGAATCTTTTCTCCTGTTACAGTTTTCTTGTCCAAAGGCTGGACAGGGTCAGGTTCTTTCTGTTCCAATACTTTCAACTGAAGTCAGTTATGAGAAACCCTGACTGATTGGCAGAGTCAAGTAAGCACAATTCTTAAACACTCTATTTTATCCATATGCCTTTACTCTGACTTGGACAAGATACTCCTGAGTGTTCTTAGGATTTGTTTATTTAATCCTTGATTTCTCGAGTAAGTCACCATAGAAATGAGTCTTAGAAAGAAAGGAAGTGGTTTTGTACATTAGTTGTGCAACCCTGGCTGTTCTTTTTCATGGTTTTGCACTTTTTATGCCCAAGAAGAAAAAGTATTGCTCTTCCATCTTCAACACTTAAGTCTTAGGAGTTCAGGTTTTGGGTTTTTCCCTCTTGTTCAAAGCTTGAAAGTGAAATTTACTATTCCAGTATAGATCTGTGGAAGAATGAAGACATTGACTGTCAAAAATATATGAACCCCATTATGGTCTTTTGAAGGTTTAAGGTGGTATTATTGATTCAAGATTTGATATTTATGAAGGAAAATAGTAGGCATACAGTTCATATTAGCTATGTAATTTTAAATTATACTCTTCTACAGTCCAAAAAGCTATTTCTTAATCAATTTGACCTTTCTGGCTGAAAAGGTTGGAGTAGTCCATGTGCTAATTTGTCAGAAACTTTTATTTATTGATCAAAATTRTATGTCTAAGAAAGAGAGGCTAACCTGACTAGCAATAGGTTTAGTGATCTTTTTGAGTTTGGAATCAACAAAGCATAAGAAATCAACAGTGTCTGTGCAGTTCAGAAGGATATTAGAGCTTAGCTAATATAACCTTCAATTGCACATCATTTCTCCATCTGTATGGCTTATTCAAACTAAACTGAGAGATGTGTRTGAGTAGTTCCCTGAGGTAATTATAACCTCAAATTCCAAAAGCACGTGGTAAGTGTTTAGTTTAATAAATTTATGGGGGTTTGTATGAAACTTTTGCTAAATATATTAAAAAGATCAGACYGGATATCTGTAACAAAAATACCAAAAGTTGCCAGTGCCAGGGTTTGTGTGTTATTTTATTATTATGTAAATTGCTGAATTCAGTAACAGAGAGCTGCTTTGCCTGCAAAATAGGCTGCTTTCACTGCCATTGTCTGAGCATTCATAAGGAAATTCAAAGCTGACTGGGCAAATATAAAGCAGTGAAGTTTATGCCCAAGGCTTGATTGTTAGTTCTCACAATTCATTATGCTAATATATTACAGTACTTGCATTGCTGCTTGTAAAGTGCTCATTTAAGTAACTTTTCAAATCTTTTCTATAAGTTTGTGTGTTTGGTAGGAATTTATTTGTGTTTGTTGACATGTATGTACAGACATCTAGTCAAACATAAGATCCATCTTTTGCTTGTATCAGAAGAAAAGCTTCTTTTGTGTTTCTATTCATGTTTTCTGCTCCTTTTTTTTATTTGGTTTAAGACTCTCATGAGTAATTGTTTGCAGGAAAATACATAACTTAAAAGGATGAATAATCTGTGCTGGCCAGACTTGAATGAATGAATGCACAAGCAGCTAAAAATCTCTGTGTGACCTTTGTAAGTCGATGTCTAAATAGTTTATAGCTGCCTTGCAGATTTGTTTTGCAAATGTTGACATTCATCATATTTTTCTCTCCACAAAAATGAATTTAGAAAAGCTGCTTATCTTGAAAAATAAAATGTGCTCTTTTTTCCTGTTACTTGCATTGAAAAGTGTTAAGAAATACTATTTTTCTTCCCGAGTGTGTTTTGAACATGAGGTTCTTCAGACATCAGACTGAATAATTAGTACTTTTTTTTTTTTTCTTTTAACACTTCATGAAAAAAGTATTTTCTGAAAGTTGAAATTAAGCAGAAAAATAGAGAGAAATATTGTTGGGATCTTTTCAAATGWGCTGTTTTCATACACTGACAAAAATGTTACCAGTTTTGTTTTCTAAGAATATTGATTGATTTTTTTTAAACTGAAGCAGAAAATATTTGGCATTTCAAAGTGTTCTATTTCCCAGTTTTCATGCCTTTTGAAAGAGGTTCCTCTTTTTTCTGAAATCACTATACCTAGTTTTGCTCAGATTTTTTTTTATTTTAGAACAGGTGTCTGGGAGCTGCCTCTCTTGAATTGCATAGAGATAAATTGTATGTATGGCGCTTGGTGTGTGCCATAGGTTTTCTGGTTTGCAGCAACTTTAAATGTTGTGCAGTGTCATACTGAGAGTCTTGCTCTGCTAACAGTTCACAGAGACAAGARCACTAAACACAGCAGAGCTGCTCACATGGTTACCTGTGTGTTTTGGGGGGAGTTGTGTGACGAATCACCACTGCAGCTTGAGGAGCAGTGTCCTTCTTTTGCCTCTGGGAGTTTCCTTCCTTCCCTGCTTGGTGSTCAGCCCTGAGATAAATCAGTTCATCGTGTTGAACCGGCAGAAAACCCAGGCTTGATCAAAAAGTCAGTGTAGCTTTGGTTGCTTGGTATAAGCTGCCTTAGCCAAGGGAGGAGCACCAGTTCTTCAGGGAAGCAGCCAGGGATGTGGGTGAAAGAACAGACARCCCCATTTTTGGTGGTAGCATTCTCTTTAGATTTAGCTATAACCTGTAACTTCATTCTTGATGGTTTATGCATCTGGTATCAGTGGGCTGTCGTCTGAAATCATTAAATTACTTAATAGCACCTCTTAATGGGGCACCTGTGGAACAGGACTTATCCTGCTGGTATTTAGAAACTGGCATTCAAACCATGTTAATGGGAACTGTGAGCTAGCTGCCCTTTTGAGCCTTTCCAAATGTTCTTCTTAATTCTTAAATGTAAATCCATATAATCAAAGATGAATCATGTATTCATGTAATACAAATTACACAGTTAAGCTTTTATTCCAAAAGGACTAGCAAAAGGAAATTCTCCATATTAYACAAAAACACAGAGAACATTTTTATTAATGTAGAATAGAGTGCTTGCMGGTCAGAAGTAGTGGTTTAGGCACGCTAAAACCATTTTTTAAAAAGGTTGTGGGTAAAGATGAACTTGCTGGTTCTGTGTATAGCTKCTTGTCAAGAAAAATGCTGCAACAGGTGCAAACATAGACTGCAAGTGTATTCTACTGCACTACACTTTTGAGGTTCTAAAAATACATACAGATATTCATCTCTCAAAYGCTTGAGTTTCTTCTAACATTTCCAGATTATTTTCAACCCTGAAAAAACTGTCAATATCTCATGATTGTTCCACTTCATACTTCTATTTTGGTATTTAGATCTCAAGAGACTCCTATGGATGGGCAGCCTCCAGCATTACCGCCCAAACAATTTAAAAAGAACAGTTGGAACCAAATTCATCATTCACACTCGCAGCAAGAACTGGATAACCATATTAATGAAACATTYGATGTTCCTGCATCACCTGAAAAATCCACTGTAAGTTTTTTGATCCAGTTGAACCATTCTGCCTTTTATCAGAATGATAGTCCTGCTTTACATGAACTTGGTTCTGAAGCATTTCAGAGCCTCTGTATTTGTGCATTACTTTGCAGCATTTCTGTCATCCATTCTGTCCCTTCACTAGCTCCTGCTGGCTTTTCCACCTGCTGGACTAGTGCTTTGTCAGTTGACAGCAAATCACTGCATAGGGATGGTTATGCAAACATTTTGAACATTAGCATTTCGGCACATGCAGAAGTTTCTACCTAACCACTTCTTGAGATGTTGTTTGCCATCGGTTTTAAAGAAAACGTTGCAAGTGTTTAATCCAGCTCTAGCTAAAAAGCGAAATCTGAAAATGCCTACCAATTTCTAGAGTGGTTTTATCAGGAGAGGCTTTTTGAGTCTGTGGTTGCATTTCTCATCAGAATTTCCAAAAAAGTAACTATTAAGAGRCCTGTTATTGCAAATACAAAAATAAGAGCAGAAGTTCTTTTTCCATATTGAAGCATGTGTGAGATGAGTAAACTAGTCAGTTGATTGACTGAGGTSAGATCTCTCTGACCATTTTTGTGATTCTTGTCCTTCCAGAAGTTTTCTAGTGGTTCTTGATTTTATACTTAGGTGGRCCAAGAAACATGTTGCAGGATGGGAAAACTGTGTAATGTCCAGATGTASCAAATACTGTGTGAACAGTTTTGTCAACCTCAGGCATTCAAAATTTTGAGTCACCTCCCCAAAYTGATACTTAGAAATGTCTTAGTTTATTTTTTTTGCATTCTGAATTGTAAGCTGAGGGTGCTCTCAGGCCTTGTAAYAAAGTTGAGATTCCCATAAAATCCCTGTTTCATTTCACAGCTGGGATTTAATAAAAGAGTCAAAAGTGAAACTTTAAAATTTTTGAGTATTTTGAGAATGTCGTAAAAAACTTTGTTTTAATAAAATAATGGAACAGAATTTATAACAACTTTGGCTTCAGCCATTGCTTATCTGAGTCTTATTGAAGTACTATTCTGTTTTGAAAGATAAAACTACTTCAGTCATCAAGTTTTTCTGCCCTGTATTCAGTTATCTTTACCAAATTGCCAAAAATAACTTTCAGTTGTTTTTTTAACTCCTTTTAGTTCTGCAAAACCAACACAGCTGTGTGAAGGGGATTGTTTTTTCTCTGTGCATTGTCACTGTGATTGTTTGCTGTGCTSCAGTGGGAGACATTTATGCAGTCTCTATGATGGCAGTGCACTGTTGTCGCTGAACATCTAATTTCATCTGCTGATGACGTTTTATTTTGGGGATTACACAAGAAGGARCATAGCATGATTGAAATTTTTTGAATATTGTTTTGTTTCAAAGTTGCTTTTCTGACCAGAATTCAGGTTCCTGCACCACTAAAATCTTCTGCTGTTCCATCTCAAATATTTTAAAGAAAACCCTTCACCATTCCAATTTCATAAAGCTATTGAATTTCCTTTGTCTGTTGCATGTATGGAGAAAGGTAGTAGGACAAATAAGAGAATGACACATTTTTACTCCATCTGCAATCCCTGAGTTTCCAGTTGGAGAATGTCAAAAGTRTTTAAAAACAGGTGTGGCCATGAGTGCAGATGAATGCATTTACCAAATTTTGTTTTCTTTTATCCAAGAGCATAAAACATTTGCAACTGAGTTACCTTAATGAGAAAAGTTTTGCAGACTTCTTTAACCTTGTGTAACTCCAGATTCTGAACTTTCTTACATACAAAAATATTTGCTTTTCTAAATTTGTTTTTTTCTTTTCTGAGTCTTATGCTTTGCTGTAACTGGTAACATTGAAAACTTCCTTGAAGCACATTTCTTTATTACTTTGCATACTCACTGTAGGAACTATAGAAACACTAGCTAATGTTYGGAGTAAGGGATCGGGAGCCAAGATTTCCTTGCTTACCACTGGCAAAAGGACACCTTCAATTATCTTCCCTTTCTTATTGCAATTCTTCACTGTGGTGTTAATTAAAATGAATTTAAGACATTTCCATTTAGTAAGCTCTTTTTATTAGAGTTTTGAAGCCAGTTAGTCTTTTCTAATATTCTTTCTTAGAGGTTGCTATGACAGAACACACCTTTAACTTAGTTATGTCCAAGACTCTTTAATATGTAATTTTYTCCTTTTATGCAAACCCAAGATGTTAGTGTTATTGCTTGGCATTTTCTCAAGTGTCCAATTATTTGATGAGGAAACTGCAGAATTCTTAGATACAATATGCTCAAAGTGTAACTGTGAACAAAATAGATACTAATATAATGTAACTTTTGTCTACTAGCCCAATGGTGGTGTCCCCCATGACAATCTTGTTATGATCAGAATGAAACCAGATGAAAAYGGAAGGTTTGGCTTCAATGTAAAGGTAACAGTACATCTATTCCTTTCACATTTATCAAGGTTATTTTCTGACATTTGGGATTTCTTACTAATTTAATTTGTTTTTAAAGGGTGGATATGATCAGAAGATGCCGGTAATAGTGTCCAGGGTAGCTCCAGGAACACCTGTAAGTTATCAAAATAGCAAACTTGGTAGCAATTTCTGTGTATCTTGAAGGATGTATTGAAAATGATAGCTGCCTGTGAAAATTAGTTTTTGCTATAACTTATGAAAACAAAGCGAATTACATGCAGTAAGAATTTGATGGGGATGTATAACGTATTTTTTTTAGTTCTTCAATCCTCAGAAGCATTTTTTCCATACTGAAAGAAAGTTTAATTTCTCAAAATTACAGGGCTTTACAGATGCTCAGTATGCATTGGTACTTGGGCTGTGCCATCCTAAAAATACTTTTACTTTATTACTTTTTTTAGATACAGACATTTAGTAATTTCACATAAATTACATATTGAAAGAGTGTTAAAAATAACCAAAATAGCAAATGTCTTACTTTAGTGACAGATGTGGCTGAGTAAAGCCAAGATATAGATTAAAAGCAGACATTATGAATCATTCATCAGGTCTGATTGCGTGTTGTTACTGAGTGACTATAAGTGAGTCTTCAAACTAGGCACAATATTTGTCAATTTAGTGCCAGAATACTGACCTGGTATTCAACTGACTGCAGTCAGCTCTGTCTATACCTCTTAGAGTTGGAGTGGGGTTAACCATTTGTTTATTTAAGAGGTACATTTTTTTTGGGGGGGGGGGGGGATTTGGGTTTTTTGGGGGGTTTTTTTCGGGGTTTTTTTGGGTTTGGTTTTTTTTGGCTTTTTCTTTACTCTTTGAACCTATTAAAATATTTGCCAAAATAATTGTTCTTGTATCTTTTATCCCTGAAATATATAATGACATTAATAATTTTGGCTTTAAACATTCACTCTGTAGGAAGAAAATAGTTGGTGATGGCTTGTGCTTTCTTTTCTGCAACAATGTTTAGACTGATTATAGTAACAATTTTTATTAACTGGTTCCTCTCTCTGGGATTACTGGGAGTTATGCGTGGCTTTTTGCCATTACCACTGCAGTATTTTAGACCTGAAGCACTTAAGCCTGTGAAATTGATTTGGACAAGGTTTTGCCATGTTACTCTCCTCCCTTCAAAGATAAAACACCCTGCTTTTTAATTGCCTCTACAAAGTGTGATTCAAACAGAGGAGCTTTCTGCATCAGCTGAGGAGTCGAGTAACAGCTGCTGGAAGATGTTAAGTGACAGTCCTGTCCCAGCTGCTAATGGATTTGTTCATGGGAATGGCACTGCTTGTGTATTGTGTAACACTTAGATTTTATCATTTGAATACAGTGCAGCAACCATAGCAACGGGGCTGTTAGGATTCAAGAGCCCAAGTATAGTTACTTTCAGTTGTTATTTTAAGGTAAGAAATTGGTAGTGGCTTGTGTTACAGATGGTTTTGKTTTTTTTCCCCAGGCTGATCTCTGTGTCCCGCGTTTGAATGAAGGGGACCAGGTTGTACTGATTAATGGCAGGGATATTGCAGAGCATACCCACGACCAAGTTGTAATGTTTATTAAAGCTAGCTGTGAGAGACACTCAGGGGAACTTGTGCTCCTCGTTCGACCCAATGGTGAGTGGCTTGTACAACRTAATTAAAAATAAAAACCCACACCCTGCTCTTGTTTTCTAATCTCCATTTTGTGTCCTGGGATGGAACATTTAACCTGTAAGAAAGAACTCCCTTCCCTGAAAAGGAATTGGAACAACACAATGTATTGATCCCATACTCCAAGGAGCTGTGTATAGCTAAGTGTTGAAAACTAATTAAAAAGTCAGAGATCAAATATTTCTAAAAGAGAGCTAATTTAAATTTTGTTCTCACTCTCATCGATAAAAATGTCCAGAAAGCTATAGGGATATTGAATGTATTTYATGAGGTTATTGTTGTTCTCCTAAGGAAAATTTAAACCAAATACAAACAAAAAAAATCCTCACCAAGTACCCAGTGTTTGGATGACTTTGAAGGTCGATATATACAAAAACCTTCCATACATTTTTAAAACAATCCAAAACTATTGGCAACATTTCTACATGAGGAGGCTTAGTAGAAGAGCTAAAATGCAATCTAAATAAAGCTTATGCAATATATTCACAAAATAGACTGTTGGATCATAGCCAGCAGATGGGCACTGGATTTAATTCTGCTGCACATCCTAATTATAATAGAGTTGGATAGGAAAAAGCAAAAYGAAAAATATTCATGCTTAATTGGAATAATTTGAATTAATTTTGCAGAGTACCTCATCTACCTCAAGCATTTTTTTCCCTTACTCACTAATTTGCACTCCCTGCTTACATKTGCTGTCAGTCTATGTGTAAGTTTTCTTGCAGCTTTTGTGTGCTTTCTTTTTCAAACCAAATTACAAGCTTTGTTTGCAAATTTGCTAAAACAAACTTTCCCCTTGTGTGTTGATTATCTTTGTATTCTGGATAAAAACATGTGAGCTGTAGAAATGAGGAATTGCCAGTTTCCTCCTTTGTAGTGATRTGATACAATTTTAAAAAAGACTTTKGGACAGCATGTGTTTCTTTTGTGTGCTAGAAGATGCATATTATTTCTGAGTTTATCAGCAAGGYACATATACAGAATTGATAGCTTTATAATGCCACGTATTAAAGTAATTTTCTTAGGTGGTCTGCAGATCTTGCCTTCACCAAAGCCTAAAACAAATTCTAAGTGAATTATAAGTAAGATGTAAATGCATCTGTTATGATATCAGAGGCATGATGTGTAAATTTGAAATTAAGGAGTTGTATCAGACAAGGCAGGGTATAACATGAATTTTGATCAAAATTTTAGCTGTCAGTGATGTGCTTTTACTTAAAAGTACTATTACTCAAAAAAAATAGTTTTATCACAGACTATAATGATCAGTAAAAGCTACCTGTCCACGCTGATGGGGACTCAAATCAATGTGCTAATAAATGTGCATTTTTCTACAGGAGAAACATGGTGTTTTTGCTGTTTTAAATAAATGACTTAGGGTTAACTTTAGTCAAACAGCATCTTCAGTCAGAGYATTCATACCTTTGCTTGTTGTAGCTGTCTATGATGTTGTGGAAGAGAAGCTGGAGAGCGAGCCTGATTTTCAGTACATCCCTGAGAAATCTCCACTTGATGGTGTCCATCAAGATGATAATGCTCTGCGAGAATCCATGATTCAGTTAGCAGAGGGGCTTATCACTGGAACTGTCTTGGCTCAGTTTGATGTAAGTACTGTATTGCCTGGAGCTGGGTGTAAGTTCCAAGTCTTTTGGGATAGCAATTGTTTTAAACAGAGCAGATTTCAGATAACTTTCAGTACAGTCAGCATCCTTTAGCAAAATAATTGTCTTACACTCTCARAAGAAAAATAACCAAAGGACAAAGTCAATCCTATATTGTGTGCAAATTTAAGAATACATAATCCTAGGTTTTAGTTTTATAAATAGCTTTATTGATTACTTACACTTTTTGTGGTTATCAGGATGGACATGTTAATAAAATACTTTCATAAAGGTGGAAGCTGAAGAATATCTCTCAGAATGTATTCTGTACTCAGGCCTTCACTCCATACATAAGTTGCTGTAGAAACTGAATGTCACCTGAGCTGTTGACATTTTATGGGCATTCTAAATGCGGGGAGGTAAAATAACTAATGGAAAATACAGCCCTAATATTAAAGGTGAATGTAACTGTATATTTTATAAATAGCTAATTTTTATTGACATATTTCAGAGCAGTAGTGCACTTCCAGTGGGGCCCTAAGCTGCTATGCCCTAAGCCATAGTCTTTCTCTAGCACTGACTTATGCCTGGGTGATACCCATCTTAAATGCATGAGATCAAGTGGCTTAAAGCAGGAAACAGTAGGTTTRTAAAACAGGGAATTCTGTGAATTCCTCACCAAATGGAGACTAGCATTGTATTTTGCAACRTATATTTATAAAATATATTTTATATACCATTCTTCAAGAACTTTGGTAAAATTTACTTTTATGTATAGAAAGAGCAGATTTTTTCCAAGTTACTTAAAATTCTCCTTTAATATAAGTTTTCATTCTCCCTAGTGGGTTCAATGTGTAAAAGTTTTTTAAAGTGCTTCTTTTTGAACCTGGATAATTTCACTGATACTTTCTGTACCACAAGGGTTGTGGCATTGCATGACTAAGGCACGAGAGGGCAGGAACCTCTCAAAGGCAATTTTGTGCAGGAAAAGCATGAGGTTACCCAGGATTTGCCCTACAGTTATTGCAATACAGAAGGACATCTGGGAAAAACAACCAAAAAAAAAATCTAAGTGAAACAAGGGCAGTATAGGTAGATGCCTGTATACAACACAATCTGCTTGCTCCAAATACCCAAGTGGGGTTGTCAGTATCAGTGAATTCATTTACCAGTATACAATGTTGCTTTATCGTTGGATCAGTGTTCTMAGTGGAAACTTGAAATTTAATGTTGAGTTTTTCTTTAAACAAATTGTGGTTACATCTTGATCACTTTCAGTGATCCTAGAGCATGACTGAATTTGTAGTGCTTTATTTTTAAAAGTATTTTCATGTTTGTTGAAGCTACTGTTGCTCAGTAGTTTATGAGTAGTTTTTTCTAAAAAAACTACTATGAGTAGTTTTTTCTAAAAAACACGTCTTTTTAGAACAAATTCTATTTAGGTAAATAACATAATAATGAATCTATTGCATCTGTTATGTTCTGACCACCAGCTTTGTCTTTTAGCAATTGTATAGGAAAAAGCCTGGAATGACAATGTCTTGTGCCAGATTACCTCAAAACATTTCCAAAAATAGATACAGAGACATTTCGCCTTGTAAGTATTTCTGTTCAAATATGTGCTCTAAAAGTATTTCACTGTGGTTGGTAAACAAGTTACATCTTTCTAAATTTTTTTTCAGATGATGCTACACGGGTTATTTTAAAAAGTAATGAAGATTACATCAATGCAAATTATATAAATGTAAGTAGTATATTTTAGAAATTCTTCTGGCKTTAAGTAATCTACAGTTTTTTGATGAAAAAAACTGATCTAAAAAAGTATTTTTTCTAAATCTAATTCAGGCTAGAATGGCTACCTCTAGTCAGGTGGTTTGAAATTTCCTGTGGATATAGTTGTTTCCTAATGTTTTGTGGCAGGTGTTTTCATAAATGTTAAAGTCTAGCCCGGCATTTATTGTGAAAAAATGCTAACTCCATCTAGCTTTCTCCAGAGAAATTAATTCTTCTTTCTGACAGTAGTGTTCAACAACAGTGAAGCTTAATTTGGCATCACTTTCTTTTGCATCTTGTTTCTTTCATTGTTAGTAACAGCAAAATTACAGCTACTTACTCTAATGAAAAAACCCAGATATTAAATCCRGAGATCAGTGTTTAAAAGCTAGTGTGAAAAACCCACAAAGCAAGAAATATTTGCACCTGAATTATTTGCCAACTGTTCTGTAATTTTTTTTTTTTCAACCATTGATCTTCATTATGGCAACTACATGACTGTCAGTTCATATGTAAATCTTGGTAGTAATTTTGCAGGTGAAACACTTGAAGAATTTTTATCTGTACCAATTCATATTTACTAGCCTTTAAGAAAYAGAATTAATGTCATGGTTGCTTTTTTAGTGTACTAGCTACTAAACTGTAAATGTCTGACTTCTATTTTCTGTAGGAATTGAAATAATAACTTTGTCTTCTCTTAGATGGAAATCCCTTCTTCCACAATAATAAACCAGTACATTGCTTGTCAAGGTCCATTACCGAACACTTGTCCTGATTTTTGGCAGATGACTTGGGAGCAAGGCTCATCTATGGTTGTAATGTTAACAACTCAAGTTGAACGGGGCAGAGTAAGTAAAACATTTCCTTGAATATCACTTGCATAATCTTCTAAAAAACTATTGGTGATTAGCCTTTAAAAGATTAGAGAAATATACTGTTGTGGCATATGAGATGCCAAGGGGTTWAGAGGAAATGGCTTTAAACTAGAAGAGTGTAGATAGAGTACACATAAGGAAGGCATTTTTACAGTGTGTGTGGTGAAACACTGGCACAARTTGCCCAGAGAGGTGGTGAATGTCCATCTCTGGAAGCACTCAAGGTCAGGTTGGATGGGGCTCAGAGCAACTCAGTCTAGTTGGAGATGGCCCTGCTCATTGCAGGGAGTTGGACTGGATGGCCTTTAAAGGTCCCTTCCAACCTGAACTGTTTTATCATTATGTAACTATTTTTCATAAGGGCATTCCTAGTACTTTTGCAATGATGTGTCTTAGATTTTAAACCTTCTGGTGATGTTAATGCWGCTAGTATTTAAACTTTGTTCAGTCTTGAAATGCACTTCACTCTTCAGGTATTTCTTAAAATATTTTAGTCTGCTTTGTTTGATTCTTTATTGTAAAGTAAAAAGCATCTACAATTTACCTTCATAGAATTATTTTCTCTAAATTCAAATGAAGGAATTCCCAAGAAGTCACATCAGTTTTCATAGAGTACTTCTTTGATATGTAGTGAGATTAATTTTTAAGGCAGCCTAACACAGCTTTGTAGTGTTAATATCCCATGTCTGGATGGCTGTCTTATCAAGGATTTTCTTAAAACGTGAAATCTAAAATTTTCCATAAAATGTTATTCTGTGGCTATAAAGATTTGTTTAATCTTAGGAAATAATCATTGTCCTTTAACTTGCATATAAAATATGTAAAAATAGAGTAGTATAATAAAATAATTACATTACASTTATAAATTAGTAAAAATAATTGTGTAGAGTGATAACATAATGCCTGTAAAAGGCCTCAGGTGTATTTTTGTCTTGTTTGGTTTTGGTTTAAGCTGTAGTTTCTCTTTAGTTGCTTTGGATTTTATGCAGTTTCATCCTTTGGAGAYAGGAAAACAATCAAGTGTCGCCATACACACAGTGGAATTCCAGAGTTATTTGGTTTATTCTGGAGCATTCACAGTAGCACTGGTTGGTTAAGTGTGTGGATAGAAATGACAGTGTGGAATAGTAGTGTAGTGGGATTCCTCTATATCAGGTTTTCTTTTGAAGATGAATTTCTAGTGCGTTGTAGATCAACCTGGACTGTAGTTCAGCTGTCTGTATATATTCTGACTTTTTAATAACCATACATATGCTGGGAGGTTAGGACTCTAAATACAATTAAAATAATTGAAGGGGAGTTGCAGTGTTTTTAAACCATTTTTCAGTGACTCAGTGTTTGYATGGTGCTGCTTACTCCCAAATAAACATGATTAGAGGGAATTTCAGTACAAGTGCCCTTTTACATTGAGTTTTCTGTGCAGATCTGCTAAGAACAGACTTGCAATAGCAGTTCTCTGAGGTTCCCCTACCCCTTCAATWATGATATTTGTGGAGTTCTTTGGAGAGCTGCTTAATAATGAAATAAAAGGACTTATCTGTCTTATACCCATAGGCAGACTCCCTGCTCTAAAGCTGATCATGAGGCTTCTGACATCACTATCCCACTGCATGCCGGGATGTCTCAGTGGAGCAGGAAGTCTGCAAATCTGGCTGCTCTTAAAGAATCGCCAGGTGGGTTGGAAATGCAAAAGTACACTTGTGCTGAAATGACCTCTGTAATTAGGCATTTAAGCCATAGATGAGAAAATCGTAGCGATTGAAGCTTTCATTCACATTTGAGCACTTGATTGGKAGTCTTTGAAGTCCACCATCTTCATCCCCCTAATTACTGCATTAGCTTAGCAACTTCTGTGTTGCTTATCTCCTTTTTTTTTTTTCCATTTGTTCTTTTCCCGTATAAATTTACTTTGAGAAGGTCAGATTAGGATTTTGGAGGTCAGAAATGTTTATAAAATAGCATTTTTGTCACTCAAGTGTTAATTTATAGAAAACTCTTAAAAAATTATAATGGAAATTAAAGGCATCCATCTTCAGTTAGACTAACTGCAAGAGCTGGCGCGTGTGTCCTCTTGAAAAGAGAACCAGGAAATCTCTGTGATACCTTATTTTATAAACAGTAATTAGGTAACAGAGTCTGTTTGGTAAGTAAATTAATAGTGATTACAAAATGATCAAAATAATCTGTAACGAACAATGGTATAAAAGCTAGAAAGAATGAAAATAATGCTTTGAATTTAAACACCAGCATCTTTAAAAATGTGTTGACCGTAGGTTAAATGCCATCAGTACTGGCCAGAACCATCAGGAAGCTCTTCATATGGGAATTTCCAGATTACCTGCCATTCAGAAGAAGGAAATCCTGCTTATGTCTTTCGAGAAATGACATTGACTAATCTGGAGGTAAAATTGTAATGTATTTTTATGTATTAATCTGCAGAATCCTTGCATATTTCCTAAAATGTACTTAGACTTTCTTTACAACTTGGTGGCATATCCATATAATGAATCCAGGGTCTTTTTTCTAGAACYCTCTAGAAAACTACTCATATTGTCATGTACTTACCTAGGAGAAATTCTGTCCATAGAATGATAACAGACCTTTCCTAAGTGAAAATATCATAGAGGTTCATTTTTCATTATCATATTAATTGGATCACATGAAAGATACATTATTTATCCTAACAGTTTTTACTGGTGTTTTTCATAACCTGGCYGAAGGAAAAGAGTAATAAAAGAAGTTGAGAAACTTGTTACTCCCTTGATATTTTCAGAACATGAGACACTAGAGGTGTTTCATCACCTCAACTGAAAGTCTTTGTATAGGCAAACAGTTCTTAATAATTCAGTCTTGAACAATACGTGCAAGAAGAGTGAAGATCAATCCTGCTGAGAGAAAGATGAATCTGGATTGGTGACTATATGTAAACAAGTACCTTTTTGAACATGCACTGCATGGTTTTCAGGGCATGTGTAGTTTTCAGAGCCTCCCCAGCCAGCATTTCAATATCAGAAATATTTGGAAATGAGTATCTAGAATTTAGTTCACATATTTATTTCTCATTGCTTGGGTTACCAGATGAGAAGCCGGTTTTATAGAGCTCCCTTTTAGTCAATTTGCAGTTAAAATTCCTGTCCTGTGTCCTGTTGAGACAATTGCTCATGGGCTATCAGCAGTGGGATCTCTGTAAATGATTCAGTGCCTAAAGGCTATTTAAAGTGCAGTAGCTCCTGTTCTTTTGAAATGCGACTCTGGTTGCCCAGCCTGTCCCCTCCCCTAACCAGAGGCGATTGATTATATTTGTGATATCAGAGCAAGGACCAGGAGGGAGTGGAAAACAAAGTCATTCTGCACTGTAGGTGTAATATGATGGATAAAATTAAGAGGTGCAGATAAAGCCAAAACAATGCTGCTGTTCACACAGGGTCTGAAGGAAAGCTTTTATGTCTGATCTCCCCTTCCTACCCCAGTTCTGTCATTTGATCTTGTAAGATACTATGTCTATTAAATTTGCTTTGCTAAGAATATGACCACCTTCTCTTACATCTACTGTTCAGTTAGATTGTTGGTATCCTTGAACAGCTTTGGTATTATGTGTAGTGTGATTTTTTTTAACCTGTTCAAAATGTAAGCATCTGTGGATTTCATTTTTTGCTTTTAAGAAAAAAGAATCCAGGATGACCAGTGCATAACACTAATAAAGCACTGCTAGGAGCATCTTTAATTATGGGTACAAGTTGCTAGAAATGTACTATCAATTTCTTTAATATTATTTTTGTGGGTTTTTTTTAATAGGATGTGAATTACCCTTTAATAAATTCCATTTTTTTCTGATTAGAAAGAGGAAAGCCGCCAGCTAACCCAAATCCAGTACATAGCATGGCCTGATCATGGGGTTCCTGATGATTCCAGTGATTTCCTRGATTTTGTGTGTCTCGTGCGAAAGAAGAGGGCTGGTAGAGAAGAACCTGTTGTTGTTCACTGCAGGTATCAAAATTTTTTACAACTTTTTAAAATCAGCAACATGAACTTTTTGTCATCAAATAGATGTTCTTTGCTTTGTTGTTGRAATAAATATTTAGTTGTATCTACTTTGGTGTCCTAGGGACGACGGAAAACTCAGCATTGAAATAAAACAAATATTTAACATGGTAATCACATTTCAAGAAGCAAAATTTTGAATAGCAACATGTGTTGATCTGTGCAAGATTTTSCTGGGGTRTTTTGTTTTGTTTGCAATTTAAATGCTTGTGTTAACAATCTACATAATAATTCAGGGAAATGGCAAAAGGTACCTGGTAACCATGAGGAATAGTTTCCTCTTCTACAAAGCTCCAGAATAGCTTTATRAGTGATCCATAGTGGCAAATGTGGGTGATTTATGAAATTATCAATTAAAAGACATTTTCTCTTAAATCTGCAGTCTTAGGCTACATGATATTTTGATACATACATTAAGATGAGACATTTTTCTCAACAATTTACCTTTGTCATGAATTAAAATAACTGTTTAGATCTTTACTTACACAGGAAATGTGGGTTTTCTTTTTCTTGTGCAATACTTTTTCATAGCATTCTAYATTCCTATAGTATATTTCAAAATCTTAATCATTTTAAAATACCTAATTAGCAAATTAAAATAGTGCCAGTTGTTTTCAAATTAACATGGACTATCACAATTCTTGGGGAACAATTCTGTGAATAATATTTGACCTCTCAATTCCTGAATACTCCCAAGATAGTCAGTGTTCCTGAATCTGGCATGCATCATTCCTTTCAGAGAAAAGCTGAGAAGTGTGAGGGACAAAATAAATTGAAAGACTGCAAGTAAACTGGACATTTATTGAAAGGTATGAAAGAAAAAGAAAAATGCACCATGTGTATCAGAAGTTGTATTTCATTAGTTCTTCTCTCTTCTGCTTTATGCAGATTAGGGTGAATCTTACTGACTAGGGAATCTATTACCAGAATGCCAGTGTCTTAACTGATGCTGTTTCTCAGCTTCCATTATTGATATACTTTTGGTTAATATGGTTGTGAAAAAATAATGAAAATGGCAGTCAAATACAACTTCTGTGATATAAAGTGTGCAAGTCTGCAGAAGTGCTGGAACAATAACRTTGGAGAGTAGGAAAAACTTCATTCATCTCAAGGAGGCACCAATTCAGCTCCAAGCTGATAATTTCAATGTGTAATTGAAACTCGTATGAAAGATTTATTTTTCACAGAAGAAAAGAGRTAAGAGTATCACAGTTGAACATAATTTACTTAATTGGCCCAACTTGGTGGCTGTTGGGAAGTATAATCAAATTCCAGCAGGGAGTCAAGCAGAAGGAGCCCAGGTGTTCCTTCATATGGTGCATGCACTCTGTAACATCTCGTCAGTGTAATAGGWTAGGGCATTAGTGCAACAGAATTTGTTTTCAGAACTAAGATACCAGCTTTAGTGTGAGGAATCCAAGTAGTAGTAGAAAATTATTTTCTTTTGTACTGCAATAATCTAAAAAGAAAACAGTCCAAACCCACAGATATTACAAGGCAGCAAAGACCTTAAGGAATTGGAAAGGTTTTTGTTATATTGAGGTTTTTGTTATATCGAGGTTTTTGTTATATATATTTTGTTATATTGTTTGTTGTTTCTGATATTGTGTCATGTGGTTATTTTTATCTTTTCAAGGTCTTGCTAGTTTTCTTGAACAGTTTCTGATTCTTGTTCTAGATGAGATCTTGTCTATCCTRTCCATGCCCGTCATGATTTTCATGCCCTATCTCAGTGTTCTACTCCATCAGTCAGTGATTTCTTTTTCCAGGCAGAAGAGTCCTATCCTGCCTTATGTTTATCATAGGAAAATGATCACATTTTCTGTCATTGGGCTTTTCTGACTCTTTTGAAATTGTAAAATGAGTCATTAGGTTCTTTGACAGTTACTCTCCCTGCTTGGATTTGATAAAGCATTCTGCATTTAAATTCTATATGTATAAATTCYAGAAATATGAAACACTACTGAATCATTTTATATAATGAGCACATTTGCATCTTGTCCTAAAATTCTCATGACATCACTGAAATATAGAGTAGCTTTAATGCCACCTCCTGGACAAAGATTTAARTAGTAGTTTAGCCAGACTTAATTTGAACAATTAACTTTCAAAGTTTGAAATATTTATATGAATTGCTTTAGATCCAAATACTTTCATTTATTGTATGAATTGGGGTAATGCTGGCATTTCAAAATATGTGTTTGGCCATATATCCCAATATGTGGAAATATTTGTTTTCTGTTTCAAAAGTGCAACATTAATTGAAAAATCTGAAACTGATCRTCAAATTCAACATTAAATATTCTGTCTTTAAGGCTTGCTACTTCTGGAAGAGCATATATATATATGTGTAAAATGATGCAGATAAACCTTTACATCTGTTTTATTTTTAAGGAAAAAGTTTATAAGCTCTCTTGATAATTTTGCCATTATGAGAAGTATAGTTAAGGTACTTCTTGTCTTGAAAAGGATTGTTATTATGTATTCCTTTTCAATTGATACAAGCTAGATCYGTATTGTACTCCTTAATTCTAAGAAAACAATCCTTTTTGTCACCCTACAGAAGTTTCTAATACTTATTCCTTTCATTATTTGGAAATAGGAAGGTGTGGATTGCTTGAAGAACATTAACATGAATTTATCAGTGCAACATTCCAGAAATCAYCTTTTCAGTAATGGTCAAACTGATACAGCATGCCCAGCGTATGCTTGTGTTTTGTGGTCCTTGAGATGGTAGTGTGGATTGTAATGTGATCTTAGTAAACATCTCTTTAAGTTCTGCTCAAGGGACTGGCTGGGCCAGGCAGTTCCTCTTCCAAAGAGTGGTGGTTCTGTACTGAAGGCTTTTGCTCTGTTCAGGCAGGGCACAGGTTGCTTCCAGATACAGACACAACCAGTCTAACCCCTCCCCCAGCACTATGGGAGTCGTAATGATCAACACTGAGAACCCATGAGAAGGAAGATCTTTTAAGTATGAACTGAACTCCAGACACTTGATTTAATTTTCCACTTTGTTTTGTTGTTGCTGTTTCAGTGCTGGGATTGGACGGACAGGGGTTCTGATCACGATGGAGACAGCAATGTGTCTCATTGAGTGCAATCAGCCTGTTTATCCACTAGATATTGTAAGAACCATGAGAGATCAAAGAGCCATGATGATCCAAACACCTGTGAGTATCATCCCTGTGGTTCTGTGTTGCAGAACAATAATTTTRCATGATCTAGTCATATTAGATGGATTTTTAATATACTTGTTGATTATATTGCAAAGATCACCTTTACCCAGTGTGGCTGTAGCCTTGGCTCCAGGAAAGAATAAATTGCTAAGGCTATTGGAAAAGAGCAATTGTTTAAATTTTTACAGTGAAAACTTGGAAAAAAAGGAGCAGTTGTATCAGGGATACCTGGCAATTAATGACAAAAAGGGTCAATTTTCACCAGTGTAAAAATCACTCAGAGGAGAAAGCAGGAACCTACTTGCAGATGTTTAAAGTGGGAGTGGTATAAAAGAGAAACAGAAAGAACCAAGACATGCAAGAAAAAATGTCAGTGATGAAATTCAGTGATTTTATGTTGCTTTAGTTGTAATGGGAGCAAGCCTTAACTATGCCCTCTTGTGACTCAAGGGGAAATTATCAGAGAAATAATATTTTTAAAAAATCAGTGTAATTAAATCTGATGCAAGATGCATTAAAGCAATCATAAGTATATTTCGTCTAAGAAAAGTAACTTACAAGGATTCTTTCGGGACTTTCTTGACATTTGATGTACCTTAAGATACCTTAAATTACACCTGTAATTTTGGGTGTTGTGGGATAATTCATGTATTATATTTCAGATTTCTAGAAGTTTTAGAACATATTTAGAAACTTGTTATTYTATCAGTCAGATATTGCTTATCTCTAAGAGCAGTTTGTGTTTATGTTTTTAGAAAGTACCTAAAAAGGGTGAAAAGGTRGAGTTGTGTTGTCTTTCAGAGAGAAAGAAAGACTTGGACTTTCGGTTGTTCCTAACTTTGAAAAATTCCACGTTTGTTTGGTTTTTTTTGACATAATAATTGTGAGTAATTGATATAGTTTTACTCATAGTATATAACATTTAGAGAAGAGCATCTTGAAGGAGAAGAGGCACTAGTTCAGTATCAAATCACAATAATCTGAAGGTAGTAYTCACTGTAGTAATTTTCATGTCCCTGCTGCCAAATTTGAGTAAATCAAATTTGAATAAACCTTTTGCGTTCTTCAGAGAGTATTAAGGCTGACAAAAAGTATGTGTCTCTATTTCTAGGTCATCAGTCAGTCAGTGCTGCTGAATTAATGTTCCAGAATTCATGTTTCACTAAAAAGTTGTACTGTTCAGGTAGCACAGGAAGGATGAGAAAGGTGATGATACATGAAAAATAGCAAAGGTTGGCTCTTGCTGTTTGTGACAATTCTACAGGATGAATAGCTCTCTCTCTACCCTATGTGGAGRAGAAGAAAAGTGTTACTAGTAAAGGTAGGAGTTGCAGTAGTAAGGGTTTAACTGTATTTTTTCACAGTGTGTGCTAAATATCATCTGGTCTCCTCATTTTTCTTAGAGAAACCAAAATTTTCAAGATTGAGGAAAAGCAGGTGTTTAGTGAGAAGGTCTAACGAAAGAATTGTAGTTTTTTAAGGTTCCATGAACGTGAGCTGTGGCCGTTTGTGCTTTGGCAGCCGGTCCTGGTTCGTGTCCCGAGGGATTCACTCGCTGTCCGCACGGGGGCGCTGTGCGAGAGCTCAGGCGCCTTCGGGGAGCGCTGGGGGCAAAGCACGGATTTTACACAAATGGATAGAAACTTAAAATATTTCATATACATGCGATACTACAGGAAATAATGATTCTAGTGCTAGAATCACTTTTAAGATCTGACATCAGTGCATAGGATGGGCTGTTCCCACAACACTGACAATGCAGGTGTGCTGGAGTTCTAACCAGCACAGACACATTGGTCTGCATGCACCGTGACTTGTGGTGCTTTGCATTTATTTCATTTGTTTTTCATTATATTACAGTTTGATTACTGCCTGTTTGTTTTTTTTAATCTATTATTTGTTTAAAACAAACTGTTAATGGCCTCTGTGTATGCAGGTGCTAGATTTGGATGCACTGAGGAGTTAAGACATTATATGGATATTATATAATGTCAAGAAACAGGTGTTCTGGGTTTTTAAAACATGAAATAGTTTTCTTTTATATCGGATTCTTAGAAGGAGGTGCCAGTAACATGGCAGAGTTAATATAAGTATGAAAAAGTACTTTGAAATTATGGCTTCTAAATCCAAGGGCATGGAGACTTCAAGTCAGTGAAACTTCAGCAAGGAAATAAAGAGCAGAAAATTGCTAAATAGGTGATGTTGTAATAATAATACTGGGTTTGTGGGTATGACTTTTGGTATATATTTCAAAGTGCCATTCATCCTATTCTTCTGTTGAGAAACAAAATGCTGTCATCTAAAGTTCCTTTTGTATTGTGTTTCCTAAACTGACTTTGAAGCACAGTTCTTGGCTTGTCAAGAGAATGGGATGGGGAAATCTTAGAGGCCTTTTCTGCTTCCAAATGATATTTTTCAATTATATTTCTTTTCAATTTACTGAATCTACTTTCCTTTTCAGAGTCAGTACAGATTTGTATGTGAAGCTATTTTGAAGGTGTATGAAGAAGGATTTATTAAACCTTTACAAACATCACTGCATCAGTAAAGAGCRAAACACCTATGATATCAATTGAGGAATCCTGTCCTCTATAATGAACTGGCAGCATTCTTCGTGCCATAATACTGCTTGCAGGAAATGATAGTGAAGTACAGCAAAGAATTGACAAAGGACTTTGAAAACTTCAGCACTGTTGCACTTTACGTTGAAACAAAATCAGTCTCTGAAACTCTTCTAACCTTCATCTGTTTGAAGACTTTATTTTCGTGATTTGCTCCGAACAAACCATAAACTGAAAGAACTAATTGTGTTCAGGGTAATCTACGATATTTCATTGTAGTGCCATATACTGCGCTTCTGGTTGAATTGCTACAAACAAGGCTTGGAATTATTTCACTCTGTTTTACACCCATGTCTCTTAAAAARAAAAACAAATGAAAAAATACACTAAGCCATGATCTTTTTCCAGTGCTAGGTTTATTTACTATGTACAGACTCTCACAGTTTTGTTTTTTACAACATTAGCAATATTGCCAATACTAGATAGATACACACTGCCTACTGATGCAGCACACTTTGTCCTACACCCTTCCTAGAGACCAGCTGGTTGTTAGAGGAGAGCTGGCGTCTGTGTTAACCCAGCAGTAGCTGCATAATGCCCACTTACCAGCATCTTGTACAAAACAACAATAAAAAATTGAAGAAACCATATAAGTAAACAGCATTTCTTTGACACAGCTTGTGTGTCATACACTGGTGTATTCCGATTCGTGTGATTTAAGATTACGTGATGGGAACTAGTGCATGCATTATGTCTTAACCCCTTAAGTGCCTTGAGACTTAAAGYGTACATCCAGTGCAAGGCACTCGTGATTCCATGGGGGTGGTATTGTCCTGTCATATTTATCTTATGGGTTCAGACTTTAAAAACGGCCCTTGGTGCTTGAAATGTGATACCACAAGGGGTCATGGAAATACCATTCCCTCTTTCCTTATACAAGTACCTGTGTGCTACTCTCTGTAGCAAAAGCACCTCTGCCAACTTAATGAGCATTGTATGCTGCTGTAATTACGTGAAAAATCTGACACATTCCTTCATTTCTTCCAACTAGTAACTTACTAGCATCTTACTACAAAATGCTGGTAGGTCATTAGAAGCTGATGCATTGTTTTATCCTTTTATTGAGAAGAGCTATTTTACTCAATTAGACATAACTCTTTAATAGCACTGATAATCAAGTTAAACTTGCAATGAGATGTGATTTAATTYCATTACCTTCTAACTAACTTGTTAAGTCCTCATAGTTGATTTCAAGCCATGTTCGTACAGGTCTGCCTTTTCTTTTATTTGTTTGGAGGGGAGAAGGGAGAACACTATGAAGTTATCCCAGAACTTAATTTTAATTTCATAATGACCCCAGTCACCTTCTGTTACGCTTGTGCAAAATTGTTCCAGTTGGTATGGGTTGTTTCTTATTTAAATAGGTAGAAGATTTGTAAGAAATGTCTGTCTGATACAGTATCTGAGCTCATTCTAAAGATGCATAAATGTCCCCRTTTTTTAATATTTTTCTAGTACAGGAGAAACCAAGTCAGAAGCAAGATACCCAGTGTAATATACTGTAAGGAAAAAAMCAGTCACTTCTTTGACTGGCCTTTGACAGCATAACTTTGTGCCCTCTATTTAAAAGTTTTAATTTATTATATTGGTTTCCTGAAAATGTTTATCCATTTAATTTTGTTATATATATAGCATAGAATTAAAATGGAAAGTTCTATGCTAAATAATTTTTAACTATTGAAGAATTATATTGTATAATATACTGTGTTCTATGGACATTTGAAACAGATCAGCTACGAACTATTAAATGAAAAGGGATTCAGGCAAAGTGAAATCCTGGCTTATGACTTAGTAATGAACATGAACCACAATGCCAAATGGAAGATAGAGTTTTAAATATTTTTAGAAAACAAAATCATATTAGGAGGGCTGTGGCCCTGTTACTTATATTTCTAGATTTAATGCCTAAGTCAATATTGTCCCYCAGTGAAAAATAAAATTTTAAAAGAATCTCTGGATCTGAACTGGACTGAAAARGAGTAACATGGTAGCTTTAATCTCAGTTATATTTTAAGCCATTTCCAACAAATAAAAATTCTTTTTTATAATTCTTTAATTCCCGTGTGATGAGGTTTTTAGCTGAGTTGCTGGTTAGCTGGAAGGTTATATTGAACTCAGCATTAATGTCCAAAAAGTAAAATAATTCATCCATTATAYTAAAATAAATTTTCTTCGTAGTCAASCTATAAACAGAATAGCATTTGCCCTGTTATTCTGAGGGAAATCAGAAATGGAGGTTATAGCAGCATTATATAGGGTTGCTACGTCACATATTTAAATATTCTTATGTAAAATTGCCAAAGCAGTTYGAGTTCAAAAGTCCCATTTATACCACAATTAAGAGTGGGATATGTATTGGTCATCTGTCATTACTGTTTTGATCACAAACACAGGCAAGAATAATAGGTCTCTTCAAAATTTTCCTCTGCAGTGACTTGTAATTTATTAACTAGTTGTACTGGGGAAAAAATTGGAACAAAGTACCTATTCTTACTTAATTGGCCATCAGCGCCACAGTGGCTTTTGGCTTCTCCAAAGCCAGGATAAAGTTAACCAAAAACTTCTTGGGAAAAAAAATAGCACTGAAGCCTTTCTGCACCATAAATCACCATTTAAATTTTTCTACCTGTTGTGGTATAAATGGCCTTTAAAATATTTTTATATGGCCAAAAAAAGCTAAACTGCTTAATATTTTACTTTGGGTTATGAAGATCTGTATCATCCTTAAGAGTTTTTTAAAGAAGTTTTTGTATGTTTCATGCTGTACAAAACATGAATGTATCTTTCAGACATAATGACTTATAGACCTATATGTGATTGGTGTTATGACTGTTGGATTTTATGAATAATTATTTTCATACCATTTGATTAGGAAAAATGTTGGGGGGCTGTGGGAAAGAGTATGTTTGTAACACTTCCATTATACAAATCCAATTAAGGAAAAAAAGTAGTTTTCATTGTAAATAAGAGCAATATTATGACAACTTTGTGCCAATGTAAAATGTTAAGACTTTTGTTTTTACTTTTAGGTTCAGATTGAAAACTACCACTACCATCTCTTGTTTAGAATGGATTTGAAGAGTTTTTTTTTACTAGAAGGACATGGGTCTCTAGTGGGGGCTTTGAGTGTTTTTGGGAGCATATTTTACTTTTGCTAAATATGAAATAAGATGCAGATATTGTTTAATAAGCCACCTACAGATTGTCAGCCAGTCCACTTTGAGAAATACTGTATCAGATATCCCAAATAACTGAGAGCTGAAAAATGCATTTATCCTGAATTTGGAAGCATTTGGTGTTTTCAATCACTTGAAAGTCTTAAGCAGTAAAATACTGCTTTTATGCATTTTATTTTTATCTGTTCTCTCCCAATTACGAAAAAGAGAATGCCTGACTTTTTTGCCCACCAGATTTAAGGATAGCTGACATTTCTTCCACATTTCTCTGTTAAATCTCTAAAGCTTATGTGCCATATAGATAMAGCAGTAACACTTCTAGAATATCTGATTACAGCCTGGCACACCATCTATTAAAGAAAGGGTGAGAAAGCAGTTGGGACATGAGAAGTTTGTTACGGAACTTGTGTAGCTGGCAACTTTCTTTGGAGGCCTTCCAAAAAGCTTCATGGTACCTGTGGAAGGGCCAAAATGCAGTGGACATGCTGCAGTTGTGCTGCCTAGGGAAACAGGGAGAAGGGAAGGTCTGGCATAGAGATGTTGGAGCTCCAGGTATGCTGTGGAGCTGGATTRTGTGATATTTTTATGCTTATGCAGTGTGTGTGCAGGTGTGTGGGTGATGTTTGATGGCTCAGGGAATTAGCATGAGCATGAAAAGCTCTGTGGATCCACCAGTTTCCAGGTTGTCCAATACAGGTGCTTTAGTTTTGGCTGTAGAGCCACTCAGCCCGGAGGTTAAAGGGAGTGATTTGGTTATGGTCCAAACGAAAATTTTGCATATTTGGACTTACACCAAGTACAGGAATGGTGTCCTTTAATGTCAGTTGCACTCTTTTTGTAGCTCACATCTCAGGTCCCCATTTGGCTGGATTGGGTGTATTTGCCAATTTCAGTACCCATCTTTTGTCTTGAGACTGAAAAAGTTCTTTCCCATTGCTACTTTTAGTTCTAGGATCCAGTATTAAGATTTGGTAAAAAACCTATTTATTGAATAACTGTGGATCTTTCATGAATATGCAGGGATTTATAATTAGTGGTGATTGGGTAGCTGTTAGAAGGAGGAAATGGTTGRTTTGTTTCAGTGTAACTGTTCTGTCCAGTCTCTTATCCCACTGCACTTAGGCTTTGAAACTTGTTWGTTTAGCCATCTGCAAAGGCCAGTTCCTTATCACTGGATTTTACCTGTGTGCTTGTTACTCCCACAAGTGTCTATCTTTTCATAGGTCTTCTCCAGCTGCAARTTTTGATCTGGCTGTTGGCTTTGTCATGTTTTGCTCATTGAGATCTCAATGGTAATAGGAACAGATAAATTACTTAGTTTTAAAAAATGCTGGAATACTAAATTTTTTAAATTTAGACATTTTGATTAGTAGCCTTATTTTAAAAAGCCACTAAAATATCTGATTCTAGTSTGCTGTAGCATGAACTATGGTTCACGGACTGGCTGGCAGCTTGTTGGTTGTGGTATTTCGTATTTAGCAAGCTTACATGTTTTAAAAGATAATTTTTTCAAAGTGTTTTGATGTTTGAATAGTAGCACTTTATCTTATGCTTACTACTGACTGAACTATTGGACAAAATAAATTAGGTTTGGAGAGAGATGCTTAATGGGTTTCTGTACAGAGATGATTCTGATTACACCCTGGTACGAATGCTTTCTGTTCCAACCATTTCTTCTTGTTCATGTGTTTCTGAGGGATTTTCAGAAAATAGATACTAATAAGATAATTCTATTATCTCAATTTTCCTGTCTTAAAAAGGATATGAAGCCTGCATTTAGGGGGGAAAAGAAAGCAAAAAAAAAGCAAAAAAAAAGGTGCAAATAGAAACTTACAGGGTACTTTTACATCTATCTCTGTGATCTCTCTCAGCTAGCTGCAAATTAGCTATGTTTACTGTAAATGTTTCTGCTAAGCATTATTTTTAACATTAGCTCAGTTACCTGGAAATCAGTATTGTTGTTTCTTGGTTTTTTGTTTTTTTTTACTTAACTTATTTGAATTTTGATAACTAAAGATAATGCACAACAGAGTTTAAAGAAGTTGCTGCCCTTTTGCACCTAGGCCAGGGGCCTGAGACATGAGTGAAAGGGTTAAACAGTTTACGTTAAGCTGTTTTCTTTTCTTTAACTAGA